CTCTTTCTTTTAGAAATGGAGCGAAATGTAGCGAAGTGTAGCAATAGCCCTAGGAATGCCTTCAGCCTTAGCCAGGTCTAACCACACCCTGTTTAAGCGGCGGTATTGCTTCCTGAAATTGTTTGCTGTTAGACGCTCGTATACGGTAGCATCCTGCAGATGGTGTTTAGTGATAGACATGTCTAGATCACGAGAGAGAATCACAGATTCTCTTTCTTTGTCGCTGACCGACACCTTGATCTCTCCAGCCGCACAAAGATCGCGAACTTCGCGCAGGCCGCGGCGTTGCAAAAGTGTTAAATTACCATTTTGGCGTTTTTGGCGGAAACGATTGAGAATTGAGAACAACCCGGTAGCAAACACTCGAAATTTGGCATCCACTGGTTGATTAGGCTCCTGCGGTTTGTAAACCAAACGCGGAAAAGGAATAACTGGCCATGTTTTTTCCCCCAGCTGCTTCGCCGTCTCTTACGCTCTCTCGCTCGTTGGCTCGTTGGCGTATCTTTTCGTGAACATATTGCAGGCTGCCGACAATCCTATGCGATACCCGAGATCCTATTGATTGACTAGGTGCGAAACTAGGACCAAGGTCCAGTAATGATAGCGCATTATCGGAAATGAGTGGTCTGCCCCCACCTAATTATTATCATCTTCTAAGGTGAGCACTGGCTTAATCTTGCGTTTTGGTTGAGGCTGTTGTTTTTCCTAGGGGTTGGTCACTTTTCTGTAGTCGATGAGGTGTTTGATCGGATAGTTTACTTATGTGTCTTCGACTTTTCAGATTCTGAAGAAGGCGAGTTCGCCGAAACGTTAGTCTGTATTCTGTTCTGTGCGATAAATCTGTACCATTCTTGGACTATACAAAAAAAGCCCTTAACCTCCATCTAGAAAAGCACATCGCACATATTGAATATAGTTGTAACGAACAGAAATTTTTGCCGAATGAACGAATATCGAATAATCAATTTATGAAGATTTTTCGAACGAATGAATATCAAATATTTGATTTTCGAAAATTCTTCGAATGAACGAATATGAATGAATAAATAAGCAAATAAATAAATGAATGAATGAACGAATACGACTTTTGATTTTCATTTTATTCGAATTCGAATATTCGAATATTGGGACATTCCAAAATTCGAATGAACGAATACTTGAATAACCTAATTTGATCGAATATTCGAACTAATTTCGAATAAATATATTTCGAATATTCGAATAACTATCTTTCAAAACTACTCGAATATTCAAATATTCGAATAACCTTTTTTGAAACTCTTCGAATGAACGAATTATTCGGATATAGGCCTTCCTCATTTATTCGACTATTCGAATAATCGAATAAATGGACTTTTTCGAATATTCGACTATTCGAATATTCGAATAGTCGAATATTTCGAACAAATTGTTCGAACACGAATATTCGGTGCTAATTATAATATTGAAGATATATTTGAGAACATCGTTTCACATTCTATTCATTGGTAGTTTCCAAAAAGTTTCCGACACGGCGCGTTTTTCTAGATGGAGGTTATGGGGCTTTTTTGTATACATAATGAAAGTGTGATCTAGGAATGAAATGACGACCTGTGGATGAAAAACATTCGAAAGCGTTCGGATGAACTCGAACCAGAACTACAATGCTTACTAGGTGGTTTGCTCAAGCTTGCACACTTTTGTGTAACGATTATCATGATTTTGCGACTCAAAATGCACGAAAAATTGGCTTTAGAAAAGCTCATAACTTTTTTCAGAACAACGCTTCGCAGATATAAAAGGTATATCCGAGATCAGCTTTTTAAGCTCTATCCACTGGTGTAAATCTCCTTCCGAATCGCCACTTCGACTAAGTGAACTTCCCTTGTTAGATGTACTTGACGTTGGGTGCAGGCCGGTTAAAGTCTTTCGTATGGGCAGGAGAGTGCCTGGAAGACCCCGCTTGGTTAATGTAGAGTCACCCACAAGGTGTCATTGGGTAACGGCCTTCTCCCGAGCCAGAATGCTTCGAGACTCCTTTATTTTAGAGGAGTTTATATCAGAAGAAGCATGACGGTTTGAGAGAGAGCTCGAGCGGATTTGAGCGAGAAAGCAAAGGAATATGAATTGGAGTACTTACGAGGAAAGGCTGGTTGTATACAAAGGTACGTTGCCTGCCAACACACTTTCTCAGGCTAACAGGCCTCTTTCCCAAATTACACCATACCCTCGTCGCACCTTTTCTCTGCCGCAGCAGGGAAACTAGCTAAATCGCAAGGCAACTTTCTCAAATGTTTTCTTTTCAATTCTAGATCTTTGATGAATAAATTCTTGCACTTGCACCACTTTCTGATTCCGACATTATCGGACTTTCTCTTCATCACAGAAGCTTGGCTGTCACCCAAACTACGTGATGAGAGAGTATCGCTGATTTGCCACATCTTATTTTTCGTTGTGATATAATAGAAAGAAGAAAAAAGGAGCTGAGTGTTTGCATTATCGTAAGAACGACTCTACTGTGTAAAAAAATTGAAGTGGATATGCGCGGCAAATACGAGCTCATTGCCATATTATGTCAGCCTTGCGTACAGACGTGCGATGATGGGAGCAGATTCTCCCCTTTCACTTTTGAGCTAATACAGGGTGATTACCTCCACTTTTAGAATGAAATTTTTTTCGCTGAACGATAAAGAAGGAAAATAAGCAAAACAAACGCAAAAAGGATTATTGAAAGAAGTAGCATCACTGTGACACAACTGATAGATTGCAGACATGACTGGATCAAGGCTCCAAATGTTAAAAAAGAAGTAGTAATCTATTTCGATTCGTCCAAAGCTTTCGACCGTATAAGTCATGATAAATTGTTAATAAGTTGGAGCATTATGGCATCTATTGGAATTGATCAAATACTATCTCCACTCTATATTTATGACTGTTCGTGTTGGCAGATATCACTCTGGACAATTTCCATTTACAAGTGGGCTTTCGCAGGGAGGCCTCTTTCACCTCTTCTCTTCATTATCTATACCGCCGACTTGTCCAAAATTTTGAAAACTCATCCTGATATTCACGTACTGATGCACGCTGATGACATTAAAATGTATGGGATTTATGAAGACTGTATTTGCGGAGTTATCAAAGATGCTTTACAGCGCGCCATTGACCGTATGGTTGAATGGTGCGCAATTTGGGATATCTTCATGGACGTCAAAAAAGTGTCGTTTTTCATGTTGGTGCAATAAACGAGCCATTTATAAACACGCTAAAGTTACGTTATCCAACAAAACATCAGTCAAGGATCGGGGAATCGTTTTCGATGACACCATGAAACCTGATCTGCAGTTTTCAACTGCTACTCACGAGCTTTTTCAACTTTGTACACCACTTTTCGCAATATCAAAGTTGACGACGTCGAATACTGGTGAAATTGTACAAAGCATACTTCATCCCTTTATTAGAATATGCAAGTCCTGTGTAAAGCCCCTCTCTTAGGAATCACATTGAGACCCTGGAGAGCGTTCAAAGAGCCTTTACCAAACTTCTCTTTTACCGTTGTTTTCCGAATTCATCATATCCACATTTGCTGTCACATTATGATGAACGCTTGAAAAGACTTGTTCTTGATATCTCTCATATCGTAGGGTTATTCACGATCTCATCCTTTAGGATCACAGAAGAGCAACTGAACTGAGTCCTTCCAAGTCTTGGGTATTTAAGCCTAGTTATGGAAGGACTATATTCTTTATGGAAGGGCTATATTCTTATAGGGACTTTATTTATCTACCAACAAGCGGTGAGCGAAATCAGTTTTCACCTTATTAGAAATGTCAAGGATGAATGAGGGGTGCATATAGGCCATAGGCAATGATCATTGAATGTTGATCTTGACCATGTACTTTGCACCGTGGCGGCTGTAAATAAGGCCGTCCGGCCGTTGTTTTAGTTATTGCAATTGTCTCCTATTCTAGTCTTCTAATAAATTCTTCTATTCTCTCTCGATCCCCACCTGAACATCCGCCCTGGCACTAACGACTCCGGTTAGTGCGTGACAGAAAATGATTTTTTTGTTCGTGCATCGAGAATGCTGGAAAGAATACCTAAAGAACTTTTAGCCTGCAAAAGTAGTACATCATTTGAACGTAAAATCAAAAAGCGAAACTTGAATAATTTCTTTCTTTGCAAATAGAGCTTCTCTTCATTTGTTTCGTGCTCAAATTGCAGGCCATTTGCATTTCTGACTTTCCGTCAGCGCATGCTTCCGACAATCTTTAGTTGTCTCCTTTGCTATTTGTTCTTCTACTAACTCAGAGTTTGACCACATAGTTTCGAGCCCAGCCTACCTGCTTCATTCACTGTTTGCTACAGCTTGCCAACATAGACTGATGCTTGCCCATGCTTGCTTGCCCCCTTACAATATCTTTCAAGTTCTACTTGGAGCTTTGTACTCTACCCAGCAAACTGTGTTGGGCGGGGCTGCCGTTATACCCGCCAGCCGAACTTCCGGTTTGCTATTATAAAGTAACAATAAGATCGTTTTTTGCTGGCAAACAAGGAGGCATGGGTACTTCTCCATAGAGTTTTTACATAGAGTTCATGCGAGTGCAAGCATTCATGTTAATTTTGCACGCAAGCTGTCTCTGCACAATTTTTTTTACATAAGCTTAGTCCGGGCTTGAAAAGACGTGATGAAATGTTGGTCATTGTTGTGTTTTATGTATGACTAACATATTTTTATTGATGTTTTATTGATGTTTTGGAACGCCTAAAGCGTATTCAATGAAAATGAAATGAAATGGCATGCTGTACATCAAAGGAGTGACAAGCGGAACACTGCTGCTTCCGGATTTAGAAAATGTTCTTTCGAAGAAAGTCATGGCGCTGCGTAGTTTGCGTGATCCGCGTGATTTCGCAAAAGGGAATGTCGCGGACTTTCTCGGAAATCTACGATTTCCGCGACATTTACAGAAATTTTGCACATTCTGTGAGCGGTATTGTGCAAATATAAAGTGACATTATTTTAGATACGATTATTGGAATGAGACTAAAATACCAGGAATTATCAAAGAGTCAATAGATGGACTGTGGTATAGAGGCGAACCAATCTGGGTGACAAACGAAAGGCGAGCACTCCATTTTGTTAATCCATTTTTGCTTTTTGTAGGCTTTGGAATCTCGAACTTATGAGTCGTGTATTATACAATTTTCCGACACACCACTGTTGAACAATAAGAAGTCATTCGAAAAGCTGCCTACACATAGCCACTTTTCATGAGTAAATTTTGTCCGAGCACATATGCAGGAAAGCAGCAGTCAAAGCGCTGATTCCTTACTCAGCAAGCAAAGACCAAAAATCTGCTAAAAAGGGAAGCGTGTATAGTCGAAGTGGCCCTTTCAGATGGGACCCATGCGGCTTTGTAGAGTATTGCACGACGATACCAAATCTGTTCTCCAAATCTGCCAAGCGCCTCTAGAAGCCGAGTTAAGAATGTTCTTCGGAAAAATGAACGCAGAATTTAGGTAAAATTAATTGTTACAATCTTTCCAGCGCTCAAATAAAGCAATGTTAAGTACTAGCATGTTGAACAAAAAGTATCGATTGCATAAACAGCTTTGATATTTAAAACTGGACCATTTGAGCAGATTTGGGCGGATTTGCTTCAGTTTTGCGTTCAATTTTTTGACCTGAAAAACGACCATAGCTTGGCGTCCAGAGGCGCTTGGCAGATTTGGAAAGCAGATTTGGAATCAACGCTTGATGCTCTTCAAAGCAATATGGGTCCAATCTAGAAAGGCCACTTCGACTAGACACGCTTCCCTTGTAAGTTGGATAGAAGACCGTTGGATAATTCGCTCCATAAATAAATGCTGTAAATCCAAGTTAAGGCCTGCTCTTCTAAATGATAATTGGAACAAAACAAAAGACTCTGTGGAAAGAGAGAAATCAACTATACGAGTGTATATTTACTTTTGAGACAGAAAGTCTGTGTGTTTAGAGGTTACGTTTTTATAACTTTTCATAAATTTTTACAGACTTTCTATAAAAGTTATTTATACTCAGGCAGCGGATAGGACCCCTCCGCCGGAGAAATGGCAGGGTCGCGGCGTTTCCCCAGCGGTGGGTCTCCCATTTGTCCGGCGGAGCCCTCCAATTTCTCCGGCGGAGACCTCCCATTTCTGCTCCGGATACCTCCCATTTTCTGCTCCGGAGACCTCCCATTTTCTGCTCCGGATACCTCCCATTTTCTGCTCCGGATACCTCCCATTTTCTGCTCCGGAGGCCTCCCATTTCTGCTCCGGACCCCTCCGATTTTCTCCGGCGCGGCTCTTCCAAATCTGGCGGACTCGCGCCGAGCAAATTTCTCCGGCGCGAGTCCGCCAAATCTGGCAGGGTCGCGCCGGAGAAATGGCGTACCTTTGCAGCAGGGCCGGAGAAGCCTCCCACTTGCCTGCCAGTGATGTCACCGCGACGGACCGCCCATTTGCCCCTCTCTCATTGGTCAACTGGGTCCGGCGCGACTCTGGCAGATTCGGACTGTCCGGCGGAGGGGTCCGGTCGATTGTCTGAGTAGACTCCTTTCTGCGTGAACCATTGATTGAAACTTTGCACACATATGATTTCAAACCTGAGGTTGCTACAGGCTTAGGTTTGCCGGACCCATTGATTTAATGGATTAGGTTCTTTGCAACAAAAATGACTTGTCATCGGCAAGCAAGTTCCCACTTCGTGTAAGCAATGGCGGTAGAACTCATTTACATCTCGCAGTAAGGAGGATGCGGTACTTCTGAGATGCTGCCGCATTTGCGACGATGTAGTGCGAAGAGCTTTAGACTCCCAAAGGACCGAGAAAAATGGAGAATGCAAGAATGGAGCAGATGGAAGCGATTTATGATGAAAACAAAGAAAGAAGATTTTATATTATTTATGCGCTTTTCGCTTTCTTTTGCAGATGGCTCATTATCCGGGCTGGGTATTTCTAGCTATTACAGTTTGTGGCATACAAATGTCTCAATCTTATTTTCGCAACATCATTCTCACTTATTCTTCAAGGTCAAGGTCAAGTGACTGTGGCGTGCCAGAGGTTTTACTTTAAGCATGAACACGGTGGAAAACGAAATGGAAGAAGTAGTAACTGCCATATAACCGGCGGCCCTTTTGTAACGTTAGATAATTAAATAATCTGATTATCATCGTAGCAGCAACAAAATGAATTCGTTTCGCGTCATGCAAATCAAATCATTCCGTTATGCAAACCTTCGGCAAATACTGACCGACTCTATATTCATTACACTATGAGGCTGTTTAACATACTGAAGTCGCCAAATTTCAATTTTTGAAACTTCCAACACCGAGCCAAACTTTATTGACGCTTTATCTATCGATTCGTGCTCGTGTTTGATATGGGTTGTGCATGACTTAATTTTTGCTTTGAAACCATAAAACCCAAGATTTTTTGGTTTACATAAGTATGATTAGATCTCTTCTATGTTCTTATAGTAGAAAGAATAGCCTGCGCGCATTTTTGTATAGTCTCAGACGCACTGACTGGACGTCACTGCGGAGCAGCACTACGAGGTAAAACGCTTGCAATGGTAAAACGCTACAAACTACCATTGTATAAGCTCCTGCAAGACGAAGGCGGTCGGTTCGATGTGCAACGCGGCTGCGACATGGCTGCGTCACAGCAGCGTCACAGCCGCGTCACAACCACGTCACTATCGAACCGACCGCCTTCGTCTTGCAGGAGCTTATACAAGTCGCTCTCGCAACATTGCGCGCGTGGTCCGCAGCGCTTTAGCAGTGCGTGCGGTCAATGAATTGACGATACTTTACTTGGCTACATTGTGCTAAAAAAGTGCGCTACATTGAGGCAGAGAAAAGTCAAAGGAATGAATTGCATCGAAATAATATCAAACTAATAGTGATAGTATACATCATTTTTCTGATTATTGGGTCTTCTGATTTCTTCATTTAGGGACAAAAACATTGCCTGCCTAAAATATAAACCAATATAAATGATTTGAAAGTCCTCCTATTCCTCTTTCGACAAAGGCGCTAACAAAGCCTATGCCTGCTCTAAAACACTGAATTCGTTTTTACGAAATTCTTGGATTTCTTCCGTTTTGTTAAAGCTCACAACGAACGCTAGTGTTTAAAATGTAATTGCGTTAAATTTGAAAAAAGGAAAAAAGTGGTTTGAGAAAAGCTTTGAAACTTGTTGCTAAAATGCATTTTTGACCCTTCAGAAAGACTCAAATAGTTCAAAAATTGCGTCGTTTTTATAAACATATCAACAAATCACATGAATAACTGTAAATATGCACATTAAACGGGTTTGATGCTTCTTTTCTTTTTTAGCAGTCATTTCGAACCGAATGAGTTCCCTCAGGTAATTGGCGTATTCATTTTAGATCGCTTAATTCAAACATTAGGTAGTTTCCAAGATTTCGTCCGAAAATAATGAAGAAATTTGGTAACGCGGCGACAGAGCAAGTGGAATGCGCTACTCATCCTGCACTTTCAAAATCAAATTTTTGAATTATATGTACAAGCTGCGCATATGCAGAAAAAATTCAGCAATATGCCCGCAATTGATGTAAAATGACGATGAAAGATTGGTAATAAAAAAACACTATTGAATGAGACCCGTTGAGCCTAGTTACGCCGGGTTCCCATTATCGAATTCTGTTCAGGCAGTAATAACAGAAAGGATCACGAAGTCGAAGTGGTTGATTGCCACCAAATGCATACCATATCGTTCGTAATTTCTAAAAAAAAAGCTTTTTATGAACTGGAATCAAGCTCAAGGCATACCTCATGCGCAGGGTCGAACAAGACAAGCAGCACACGACCGCCACATACGACCCTACTCCTTCCCCCCCCCCCCACCATTATCGTTTACCTACCGTTAGGCATATAAGGCTTATCAAAAGCAGTATCGCTTGCATCAGCATCTCCACTCCCGCGCTGGACTCTGCATCTCTTTCTTGATACTCTCTAATCACTTTCACAGGGGGAGTTGAGAGACGGAGCCTCAATCGATAGGAAGTGATTAGAGAGCATGTTCGCGGAAGAGACGCAGAGTCCAGCGCGAGAGTGGAGATGCTGAGGCAAGCGACACTGCGTCTGATAAGCCTATACGTATCAAGCATGATCATTAACATATTTGTAGTTAGCATGTCAAGCATACTTGTGGACCAAGTTTTTACGAATTCTGAGGCTTCCAAATATTCGGCCACCCAAATGTAGTTTATTTATTTATTTATTTAATTATTTAAGTTTGCACACATAAGTGCGCCACATGAAGAACACAAGACAGCACAAATGTTAGACTAAAAATAGTTGAAATGGTCACTTTTGAACATAATTAACTTTGTTCAGGAGGTGAGTAAGCTACTTCTTTTCCAACGCAAAGCAAAACACTACTCTTTTGCCCATATGGGGAATCACATCTCAAGTGAGCGCCAATTATGGAATTAGACTCCAGCCATATCTTTGTTTGTTCCATTTTTCGCCTTCAAAAAATGTGCTTTCAGCAACTGTTATTCATAATTAAGATTACAAACTTAGCTTTGATGGGTTCATGCATCTACATTTCCATATTCTTGAAATTACTTTCAAAAGAATATATTCGTTATCTATGTCCACGTTCGTGGCAATCATTGTGTTACGGTAGTATGCTAAACGTGCGCTATCATGTTCATTGCTAGGGAAGGTGGCATAAATTAAGTCATCGGCTCCTAGAATGGCGCTAGGGCGGCCGCTATGGTCAAGTGAAATCACTTTTTAATTATGCCGCTATACTCGACAACACACCGCCGATATGCTCGCCCAACATTCGACGGTTATATCTCGTAAGTTTTTCCAAAGTGGTTTGACTTTGATTTTCCTTTAGTCTGAGTAATACCCGTTGAAAAGATCACTATTGAAAGCGAAAAGAGGTCAACGAATTTTGGTTGGCTCCTTATTTGGCTTATTAGAAGTATTTTCTATGTGGGCAAAGATGAAGCACTGCTTTGCATTGAGTGCAAAAAGACCTAGCTGATTCATCTTCAAACAAAGTTACCCTGTTCGCAAATGGCCGTTTCGGTTAATACTGGAAACCTTAGAATTTACTAACAA